AWTYYTTTTTTTTTTTTCCCACTCTATTTGGTAGATTGGAAATGATGAAAGTTCAAGTGCAAGCAAACGTGGGGCACTTCAGCAGTTGGTTGAAGCTTCTGTTGTTAATGACCAGAYTGTGTGGACCAAGGTATGGTGTAAATTGTGTGTATTATATCTGCTGCTTATTTATTTATTCATTTAGTCTATTACTCCATTGCCATGGGCATCTATGCATGCTTGTGCACCATTCACTAGATAGCATTTTAGATTCAATTGTATTTCTATTTTACTTGTGCGCCATTCACTGATATTTAGGATTCAATCTTGTGTGTATGAAGATTATATAGACTTAGGCATACCAAGCAAAACTTGCCAACCGAGCCCTGTTTATCCTTCCAAATCTTATCCAGTTACCTATCCTACCTCTGAAGCACAACCTAACACAACTGGAGGTGCCTATTGTTGTTCCTTCTGAAATGCATCTGTTATAAGAGATGACCAATCTGGGATCCCAGCCCAAGTGACACGCTCAAAATTATACTGTTCATTGTGTAATCTAATCAATAGAAACCAGAAAAATTAAGATTTAATCCAGAAAAGAGAAGAGAATAGATGAGATGAGAGAAGAGAAAATATGTTAAGGGGAAAAGAATTATTGGGGTGTGTGCCTCTATTCTTTTTTTTTTTATAATTAACAGGATTTTATTAATATCAGAGAGAGCCCTAGCTATCCAAATAGATAGTGGGGAAGAAACAAGGCAGCTAAAAGCTGATCACACAAGAGAACTATTTCTTATACAGGCATGTATGCTTGCAATGAAACAACCAGAATACACTTTTAGTGCTTAGAATTTTTTCAAATTCCAGTGCCCGGTTCATGGTTTAAGCATATGCATATGCACAACACTTGATAGGCAGTCTTGTGGCCCTTAAATATTCTTCTAGCATATTCCTCCAAATCCTCCAAAAACTGCGCAAATATTTAACCCTCAAAGAATTTGACATTTGTCTTCTAATCTTGCATTTGGCTGATCTTATTATCACTAGCAATAGAGAATTCAGAACCCTTGAAGACCATCTAAATAAGAAGAGGCTCCAAATGTTATTGGCCATTCTGGATTTTGACTAGGCCTCTCTTCTTCCTTGTCATACACTATGTGCTTGCTAAGTTGAATTCACTCAATGCCAACTGAAAACCTCCATCCTAGGGATAATGATGAATCCTTGAATCTTCCCCAAACCTGCATGCAACACTATATGTTCTTGAAGCAACTTGTTAAGGGTGGACATAAACCAAGCTTTTCATGAGCTATTCGAGCTCAACTTGTGAAAAGGTTCACTTTGGCTCAATGTAAACCGAGCTTTGAGCCAAGCTCGAGCCCAATGAAGCTTGCAAGCCTAATCTCATATATAATATTTTTAATTTTTATACATATAAAATTATCGTATGTATAATTTTTTATTTTTATGAAGCTTGGCTTACTATCGAATTCAAGCCAAGTCAAGCATTCTCAGTCGGCCCCAAATAACTTAGTTCGAGGGTCATTTCTTTAAACACCACCTGTATCTGATGACCCTCACTTGCCCATGGATTAACCAACAAAGTTTTTGCATGTTTTTGCAATGCACTATCTGCAAGTTTTTGCATCACCCTCTGAGAGTTGCATCCATAGGTACTGCCATGAATAATTAAGTTATGGATGCCCAATGTGCTACCCTTACAGTCATTAGGACAATCAAGATGCTAACATCATTTTTCTTGGTTATCAAACATTCTCAAGTTTCTCTCTCACAACACACTCCATGGATAAAGACTACTGCATTTCCAGGTAAAAAATATTATACCCAAAGATCTCCAATAGTTAGCTGTYGGAATCCAATTGAGTACAGTAGAAGGCTTGCTGAAATAAAAAAATATGAAATAAAAGGAGTTTCTTGAAGAAAGAAGGAAGAGAGAAGGAGAAGAAGAGAAGAAAAGTTGAAAAGAAAGGAGAGCAATGATCTGGCCACCCCCTTCACTTATTATTTATATTAAAAATAATAGAGCACTACAATGACAACTATGCCTTTATAGGGTGGCAAGACATAAAACAGCATATATAAGACACAAAAACATAATAAAATTTGGACTCACATAACTATTGTGGTCCCCACCTCCTATCTAACAACTAACATAAAACATCTACTCATAAAAACATCATAAAATTGATTAATCTTCAACACTCCCCCTCAAGTTGGGAGTAAATGTCACATATTCCCAACTTGCGTAGATCATGTTCAAGCTTGTTCATTGCCACCCCTTTAGTGAGAACATCGGCCAGTTGTAACTCTGAAGAGACACATGGCAAACAGACTTCTCCGGTTGTTACCCTTTCTCTTATAAAGTGTCTATCAACTTCAATGTGTTTTGTCCTATTATGCTGAATTGGATTGTGGGCAATATTAATTGCATCCTGGTTGTCACAGTATAACATCATAGGTTCCTCTGCTTTCACCCTAATCTGACTCAAAAGAGATCTAACCCAAAGAAGTTCTGAGACACTGTGAGCCATGGATCTATATTCAGCCTCTGCGCTTGACCTTGCCACAACTGCTTGCTTCTTACTCTTCCAGGAGATCAAGTTTCCACCTACAAAGGTACACACTCCTGATGGTCATCTAAGCATCCTGCCCAGTCTGCATCTGTATAGGACTCTAGCTTCAGATTCTCATGATTTGAGAAAAGAATGCCTCTGTCTGGGTGCTTTTTCAAATATGCAAGTATTCTCTCAATAGCTTCCCAGTGCTGAACCCGAGGTGCATGCATGTACTGACTCACAACACTGACGGCATAAAAAATATATGGCCGTGTCATACACAAATACAACAGTTGGCCCACCATTCTTTGATATCTCTCTACATCCTTTATCAACTCATCATCCACACCATTAACTCTGTGATTTGGATCAATAGGAGTGTCTGCTGGTTTGGTCCCCAGCTTCCCAGTCTCCCGCAATAGGTCAAGTACATACTTCCTATGTGAATAAAGATCCCATGCTTGGATCTTGCAACTTCAATCCCCAAGAAGTATTTGAGCTCACCAAGATCTTTGATCTCAAATTCTTGCTGGAATGATTTTTTGAGATCATCAATCTCCTCCAGATCATTTCCTGTCACCACTATATCGTCCACATACACAATTAGAATTGACACCAGAGCATCTCTCCTCTTCACAAAGAGAGTGTGATCAGACTGTGTCTGTGTGTATCCAAAACGGATGAGTGCCCCTCTGAACCTGTCAAACTAAGCCCTAGGTGACTGTTTCAGTCCATACAGAGATTTTCTGAGTCTGCACACCTTTCCCTTACCAACATTCTCATAAAAACCTATTGGAATGTCCATGTATACCTCCTCCTGTAAATCACCATTGAGGAAGGCATTTTTGACATCAAGCTGGAACAAAGGCCATGAATAGGTGGCTGCTAGAGATAAAAGGATACGAATTGAACTCATCTTAGCTACTGGTGCAAAGGTTTTCAGATAATCAACATCGTAGGTCTGAGTATACCCTTTTGCTACCAACCTTGCTTTATACCTCTCTATCTTGCCATCAGCCCTATACTTCACTGTGAATATCCATCTACATCCGACTGTCTCGTTGTCTGGGGGGAGATCAACTATTTCCCAAGTTTGGTTTTTAACCAAAGCATCCATCTCATCTTGCATGGTTGTTTTCCACTCAGGTTTGGAGAGAGCCTCAGTAACATTCCTAGGTATAGACACATAATCAAGAGAAGAATGAAAAGCACGATAGGAGGGTAATAAGGCTATGTAGGAAAGATGGTGTGAAATGCAGTGGGTTGTACACTGTCTTCCCCGTGCAATGGGAAGATSAAGGTCAATGGGATCAGCTGCAACAATGGTGTTAGGGACAGGAACATTATCATCAGAAAACATAACAGGCTTAGGCTCAAGAGGAATACTTGGAACTGTATCTGCCGAATATGGAGTTTCAGAAGGACTGATAGAGAGTGGTGTGGGTTGAGGATGTGTGAAGTCAACCATCATTTGTCGGCGCTGATATTTCTCTGAGGCTGCCCGTAGTGGCTCAGGTAATGAAACTGGAGGTGCAGGTGTTGGCTGAACTAATGAAGGTGCTGGCTGAATTGATGAAGGCACCAAAGAAACAGGAAGAGGAACAGATTGTGGGTTCTCCTCTCCAAAACTCTTCCCCTAAGGAGAACCACTTGAGAAGAAGGTGGATTCAAAGAAGGTAACGGGAGCAACCTTGGGTTGGGGACTCATCTCTGATGGACCAATTTCCCTCCTTATATGCGTTTTAAGACCTGAAGAATGAACCCATTTCTTCTTTCTTAGTTCCTTCTTATTCTAATTCCGGTTTTGGATGGAATCTAGGGTTGAGGAGAACAATAAGGGATATGGATTTGGGCTGCCTGTCGTCTCTACTAGCCACCCTTGAAAATGTTTTCTTGGACCCGAGTAAGGATGACTCCAGAATTTGGACCCCATCCTCCAATGGTTCCTTCTCCTGTGCGTCGTTTTTTGAGACCTTGGTCCATCCTCCTGCTCCCTCTGGCCTTTCCTTCCCTGTTAATGAGATTTGGAGTAAACCCATTCCTCCTCGGGTTGGTAGTTTTTGTTGGGAAACTTTCCTGGAAAGAATAAACACAACCGACTTGTTTCAAAGAAAGAGACCTAATTATTGCTTACTTCCCAATAGGTGTGTTCTTTGTAAAGATAATGGGGAAACGGCTTACCACCTTATGGTTACTTGTCCGATTACTAAGACTATTTGGGAATGGGCTTCATCCTTGTTTGGATGCACTTGGAATCCTCCCGTGAGTTTGCAAAGCTTGTTCTCTCCCTTGTTCTCTAGATGGCCTAAGAAAAGAGGGAAGATCATGTGGAGAAGCATTAGAGCAGCTGTGTGCTGGTCCGTATGG